TATTAATTTTTGTAGTAAAAATTTGCTTTAAGAAGTAGTAAGAATGCTTTCCCACATGAAGTCTCAAAATATTTCAAGTTCATTATATTTTATTTACATTATATTTCATTTACTCTGTGTTTCTTTTTCAGCAAATCAAATTCCCGGTGATTGTTCTAATTTTTATGATTTTAAAGTTTTGAATGAAACTATAGATTTTCAGTTCAAATTAATTTAATGAAAATTACGAGTCTGATATGTTTTAGTAAAATTTATGTAGTGGATAGTATGTAAGTTTTAATAGAATTATACCATTAAAATCTTATTAAATTTAGTAAATATATTAATTTCTAAATTTCAATTTGATAATTTTATTTATATCGTGTCTTAAATATATATTTGAAATTTTCATAATAAAAAATATATTTGACAATAATATTTATGATCTGTAGTGACCTCTTTCGTCTGTAGATATTTGATTTATAAGACTTCTATAGATTCTAACAGAGTGGAAGACGACGGGATCTAGTTCATGCTATTGAATATAATTTTGTATTGGCTCAACATAAGTACAAAAATAACAAATTTATATTCTGGTTTTTAAATAATTTTGAAAATTTGTCAAGTCCTAATTATTGCATGACTTAGATTTTATTTGATATAGTTTTTTACTATTTTCTAAAATAGCTTTTTAGTATAAAAAATCTTACAAAATTGCTATAAAATTGTGGCTAAAAATTGTCCCAAACAAAAACTTAGGATCTGTTTGGGATAATTTTTCTGCTTTTTTTTTTCAAACTATATTCACAGTTCTGTTTGACCATTGCTTTCTCTGTTCCTTCGAAAAAAAAAAAAAAATTGTGCTTGGAAGCTGCTTTTGTAGAAGCTTTTTAAGAAGTTAATTTTCTCCTACGGCTTTACAATTATATTTACAAAAAGTTGCTGTCATTCCAAACTATTTTTGAGACAATTTTCTTACTATATTTTTCAGATCTTAATCATAAATTTTTTTAGCTCATGTTTTTTATTGTCTTCAAAAAATTATTATATTTGGATTTTTTTATGACAACTTTAAAAATTTTTTTTAATTTTTTTAGATAACAACTTTATGATTACTTTTTATAAAAAAATTGTAATTGACAAAAACATACTTTTAATTAAATTTTTTTTTTCGAAGAGAGTCGGTTATAACTTATATATGCTGTTAAAAACTCTTAGGTTTTATTTAAGTGAGTTTTTTAATTATTTTTTAAAAGCAGTTTTATTATTATTATTTTTTTTATTAAGAATCTGTTTAAAAAAGTAATAAAAAAATTGTAAGCCTAAATTTTGAATTAGGCCGTGCCAAAAGGTGAAATGACCTCAATGAATAGGTTCAAAGTATGGCGCCATATTTAGTTGTGTATGAATGACACTTTTGACCTTACCGTTGTGTTTGGACATAAAAATTTGAGTGTAAGGAAATTTCAGTAAAATTAAAATTTGAAAAAAAAAAACTAATTCAATTGCCTCATATCTATAATAATCATGTTGGCCGTACAATCTTGGTTGAAATGAAGCGGGAGGAGCAGATAAGGAGGGAAATTTACGAAGAAATAGATTCGTCATTAGATCTGGCGTAGGCAGAAAATATCAAAATGTCTGATGTAATGTAGAATGCGATGTGTATATTGGCGCATTCTATAGAATGTGTCGTATCATTTGACACATTCTATATTGCGTTACATAATATGACGAATCTGCACTTTCATAAATTACGTTCTGTTCGAGCTCCTCCCGCTAAAGATGTCAAGTAATCTGCTCCTCTTAAAAAATAATCCTACAATCTTTTCCTATGAATGAGGATAATTTTTTTGTGAGTATAGTTCACTAATTTTTATTTTAAGCAAAGTAATAATTACATTTAGCATTATATTAAAAAAAATCCTATAACCACTTATGTTATAGAAAGCTATTAAATAAAAATTTAGGATTTTTTTTTTCAGGTAAGAAGTCAGATGGACAATCCAAATGCCCAGACTGTTCACGGGCGGGCCGGGCCTTCGACCTCTACTACTCCGCAGCCTACCCTATGGATAGTCTGCTGTGACAAGCCCGGATCATATATGAACCCAAATATAAGCTGGTGTGGTGGGGCCATGTGGGACCCACCTACGCAACCTTTTTTCCCCTCCCTAACACCTATGTCTATGCGAGTCAAAAAGTGCTTTAATTTAATTCAAAAAAAAAAACAAAATAATTTTAATATTTTATTAATAAATGTCATTTTAAGAAATTTTTCAAAAAAAAAAATTATTATTTATTAGATAGTTGAAGGACTTAAATTAATTGTATAACAGATTATTTGATTGATTTAGAATTTGTTTGGAAGGATGGTTGAAGCTCTTTATAAAATTAATTGTAATATTTTTTTGTGGGAATATATCATAGAATTTGTTTGGGATAATTTTCTCACTATTTTGATTTTTAGTTTATATTATAAATTTTGTTTTATTACTATTTTTTTTTGTTTTCAATTATTTTTATGTTTTAGGAAGTTACTTTCTATATCAATTTTTTTAAAAAGCTGCTTTTTTCGCAGCACATTATAATCTTTTTTTATATAATGCTATAAGTGTCCCAAACCGATCCTTAGTTACTATGGTTATAAGAAGCAGTTTTTCATCATATTAGTTTTGAAAAAACAGTGAGAAAGCAGAAAAAAAAAACTAACGAAATGAAATTATGGTTGTTGTCAAAAAATAAATAAAATAAAAATAATAATAATAAAAATTGTTCCAAACAAGCCCTTAGTAGTTCGAAATTAAAGGGGTGAATATTAAAAAAATGAATGCAACTTCATTTTTCGTAATATTAAAAAATATAATAATAAATTTTAACAAGGTCCAAAACTAACTAGGGGTGTCAACTTTTGACACGACCCGAAATCCGACTCAGGCCTGACCAAGAAAAATTCGGATTTGGGTCAACCCATTTGCAAAACAGGTCGGGTCTGAGTTCGGATTTCTGACCCATTTGAAAAGGGGATCGGGTTTGGGTTTACTCGACAACCTGCTGGTCAACTCGAATTGACCTGTTTCTCAAACCCGCTGCTCAGCGCGTGAGGTGGAGTCTGTCATCCGCGTCATAGGCCGTCGTCACCAGTCGGTCCATGGCTCTATGCATCCCGCTTCCAGCTCGCATAGTCGCTTCAGCTGCCGCCGCTGCGACTCCGCACTCGGCTGATCCGCTTTGCTCTGCCTCCGCAACCTCGACTATCGATCACTCGGCGGAAGATGCTCCGCAGACCCGCTCCACTCCGCATGCGCAGGCTCGCAGCCTTCGGCAATTCGACCTCCGATTGGCTCGACTCCGCATATGTACACGGGTCGGGCCGAGTCGTTGACAAACCTGGCCTGTTTGCAAAACCGAGTCGGGTTAAGATCAACCCGTTTACAATCGGGTCAAGTTAGGTTCAACCCGAACCCAACCCATTTACCCAAATTGACACCCCTAAAACTAACAAACCACTAACTTTAATTATAATAATAAATGCCAAAATTTAAAGGGAATAACTTTATTTTGGTTTTTATTAAGATTTAATCACACCTCTAATAAAAAAGCATAAATTTAATCATTTAAAAACTGTTAATAATAATTTATAAAAAAAATCAATATATATATGCGAAAAAACATATTAATTCTTACTAAATTGAAACTCTGTAGTGAATGAAAAAGCCCCCCGTCGGCCCATCCACTCACAACCTTTCTTTTCGCCATCTCCTAATAATTTTGATCTCCAAAAAAATCAATGGCACAGCTTCTCAGTAGGCTTGCAGATTTCCGTGAAAGAGACATGAAATCACTTGCAGACTGGTTCAGACTCGGAAGGACAGTAGAGATCTAGAGAGAGAAAGAAATGATAGAGAGAGAAAGAAATTATAGAGAGAGAATGATAGAGAGAGAAAGGAGAGGGAGAGAATGATAGAGAGAGAAAAGAGATAGAGAGAGAGAGAAATATCTATATAAAGTAGATTCCATTCCATCCCAGAGCTCAGGGTAGGTTCCCAGCCTTCACATTCTAATGAGTCCAAGTCCTAAGTTCATAATTTATATAATATTAGAATAAAATTTTTCATAAGAACATAAATATTAATCATTTTTCAAGCACTAAAATAAATGTAATGATTTTTAAACATATTCATATGAGTGATATGATATAAGTACATTAATGCATTAATTAATCATTTGATACTCCTTCATATAAGATTTATTTAATTTATAGTTTAAAGATAATTAAGTAAATTTAATTAAAATTTTAAAGCTAGATATTGAAATATTCGAGCTAAATTTTATTAATAAATATATTTGTTTGTTGTTTAAGTAGTTGATCTTCAATTGATAGATGCATTGGCTAGTTAATAATTACTTAATTATTTTTAAATAATTTATTGTATGGTAACATTATAACAATATTTTTATATTATGAGATTGTTAAGCTCTTCTTTCTCTCTCTTTCTATCCCAACTTTGTGTCAACATTTTAAAATTATTTTGAGGCCAATTAATTACAATGTTCAATAAATTAAAATTTTCATATGATAACTAAATATTTTGTTTAAAAGTAAATATATAAATTTAAAATAATATTTCATTTAAATTTAAAATTTATCTATAAATACAAAATATTCTATTTTGGCGGGCAACAAGTTTTAAAATCATGCGGATCAAATTTGTTGATTGGGGTTTTGAGTTTGAGTCTTATGTGTCTGATGTGAATGAATTTGACTAATCAAAATAACTTTTTTGTTCAAAAATTTTTTGTGCTATTTTAAAAAGCAGTAAGAAAGTTGTAGCAAACCGCCTAAATTGGCCTAAATGTAAAAAACAAAAATAAAATAAAAATAAGAAGTTTTTAAAACCCAGTAGAAATAATCATTGATGTGAATATGTGATACTAATTTAAATATAATTATATTAAAAAAATCGTATTTTTTCTTGTTTATAAACCCCCACTCTGCCACTGGTTCGCCAATCAAAGAAGCCATCACTTCACATCCAAACAAGCCAATGGAGCTCGACGAGCAAGCCTTCTTAGAAGATCTCCTCGCCCTCCGCCGCCCGGACGCTTGGGATTCTGGCGATCTCTTCGGCGCCGAGCAAATCCAGCCCTTCGATTGCTTCTCCGACGCCCCTTCCATCTACCCGCCCCTCGACTGCTTCAATACGGACGCTTATTGCCAAATGCTCGCCGGCGGCGGTATGTGCGCTTACTACTCCGCCTTCCCTCCCGACATTCCGCCGGCTATTCCTCCAGAAATGTCTTGCAAAGTGGAGTTGCCTTCGTCGGCGGCGGTGACGGCGACGGCGACTGATGCGCCGCCAACCACGGTGGAGCGGAGGAAGAAGAAGGTAGATGGCATGCCATCTAAAAATCTAATGGCGGAGCGGCGAAGGCGGAAAAGGCTTAATGATCGACTCTCGATGCTTCGATCTGTTGTTCCTAAGATCAGCAAGGTATTCATGCTGAACAAAAATCATATCAGTATTTTCTGATTTAAACCTCCTTTATATTTTTTCATCTTCTGCTGCAAGCTTTTTTTCATTTAAAAACAAATGTGCTTAAAGCATTATGATCCGTGCATTTATTTTTATCTAATTTTTATTTTGTTTGATGTTAGATGGACAGAACATCGATATTAGGGGACACCATTGATTATATGAAGGAGCTGCTTGAGAAAATCAAGAGATTGCAGGAGGATACAGAAGCAGGTGGAGCTGAGCAAGCCAATCTTCTTGGCCTTTTCAAGGACCTAAATCCCAATGAGATCTTAGTAAGGAACTCCCCTAAGGTACTTAATTAACTGGTTATTTAGTTGGAAGCTAAGTTTTATGTTACTCATTAATGGCATTTTTTATTTTCATAATCTTACGGCGCATTTTTTAGATTATTATTCTTGTTTATTGACTCTCAATAAATCATAAATAAAATAATTATAATAACTTAACTCCAATTAGATGGGAGCAAATAAAATAAATTGAAGATAAACATACAAAACACACTAAGAATTTTATGCAGGTTCATCAATTAATGGTTCTGTCCTATTACTTAACATATTTGTGATGATATAATTAAGTTGATTCTATACTTATTTTCCTCTTAATTGCTTTAGAGATCAAGATAATTACATCTACATCTCAGCAAAATGAACTAGCTCCCAAATTGCTCCAATCTAAAAATAACAATTAATATTTGTAATTATGATAGCTTCAACTGATGATATTAAGGAACCATGCAAGCATCAATCTATTCAGGCAACTAATTAAACCACATCAAATAATCAAATCTCTTTCAGTTCATAAACATGCCACAAAACATGGCAAATTATCAGGTGCGGATATCGGACGGAGAGAACCATCCGGTTTTCTCTCTGTCTACACTGAAAGCACAGTCACAAGCACTTTGACTGCGCTTTCACCATAGACAGAGAGAAAACCAAACAATTCTCTCCGTCTGGTATCCGCACCTAATAATTTCTCCGCAAACGCAGAGCTATCTCTAACCTAACAGCAAGGTAATGGATGTTCATGGCTTCCAGTTCGACGTCGAAAGGCGTGAGGGCGATACGAGGATAGAGATATGCTGCGCGGCGAAGCCGGGATTGCTGCTGTCGACCGTGAACACGCTGGAGGCGTTCGGCCTTGATATCCAGCAGTGTGTTGTCAGCTGCTTCAATGACTTTGGATTGCAGGCTTCTTGCTCTGAGGTAAGACTTCATATCATATATAATATAAAGTTATTAGCAACTATCAGCTATGTAATGATATTGCTTTGCTTGTTAGAATATGGAGCAGAGAGCAGTGATGAGCTCTGAAGATATAAAACAAGCTTTGTTTAGGAATGCAGGCTATGGAGGAAAGTGTATGTAGGAGAGGAAGGAAGAAGATGGAAGCCATATTTGTTGGGGAATAATTGGGAACAGTGGTTAGCTGGTTTTCCTCCATAAACACTGTACTGATGTTAATTAATTGGATTTTAGCAGGAGGATAAAGGTGATTAATATGTTAATTACGTTTGTTAATTAATTATTGATTACCTTTTTGATCTGTATGTTGGCTTTCTTGACCTTTCTTATGTCTGCTTTGCCTTTATCACCCACTCAATCAATTTTTTAATTAGAAAGGTGCTTAATATATTATATTGCCACTAATTCCTGATTAGATGCTAATCTGTGTAAAGCTGTGATTCTTTGCTTAGTTGTAAATCGTCATGGTACTATTTTTGCATTGCAATTTTTTTATTTTTTTTTGCAAATGCGTATTCTGAACTGTAGAACTGCAACAGAATTTGAGAAAATTAATGAATTATTATTCTGTAATGATTTCTCAATGGAGCAAGTTGGGGAATGGGGACAGCTAGGATGGATGGTCAAATGCTTACGCCTCAACTTGGCCTGCTCTATCTTGGAGCAGGACGAAGGAAATATACGGGTCTTGGTTTTATTAGGCAAAGGATTGTGGACTTGCAGGCATTCGATACAATCAAAATATTATTATTTTTGTTGATGTGGATGGTATTGCCTGCCAAGTCTTCAGTATCAAGTTCAAAATATTTGAAAATATTCTGGAAATTTTACTTATAAATATATAATACTGAAGACTTTAATTTTTTTTTTTTATTAAAACAGCATTGTTCTTGGGGTTTATTTTGTAGAGAGATCATAAAAATTGGAGTTTTTGTTCATTTAAGGAAAGGCATTTAACACAAAAGTGGTTAACTTGAGATTACTATCGATGGAGATATGAAACAAACAATTGAGTTTGTGGTGATGATTTTGTGATTGGTGTCGACGGTGATTTGAATTGGGTGAAAACAAAATTGTTTCGGTATATTTTGTGAGAGATTATTATGTGTGAAGTATGAACATAGAGAACCGTTCGATTTTGTAATTGTAAGCATTAAAAGTGCAAGGGTGAACAATAAAAGCGCCGTGGTGAAAAGTAACACCGCTTTTACTGTTCAAAGTCACAAAATCGAACGGTTCTCTATGTTCAAGCTCCGAATGTAATAATCCCTCATATTTATGTTGCAAAATGCATCGAGATGGGCATCAAAACTTTTGTATCTGTGCTGAGATTAGTGTTGCATATAATATTCTGGATTGCAACTAATTTCATTGCTAATCAAGAGGTTTTGAAACTTATTCTGATATGTTTTGCATCAAGATATTATGAAATTATTTTTTTCCTTGGACAAAAAAAAATTTAGTCGCAAGGATATTTGATTTGTGTTTCTATTTTCTTTTGTTTGTTTCTTTAAAACAACAATTTAATCTAAAAATATATATTGTCTTGTTTTGCATTTAAAAAAAAATAATAATGTAACATTACATTGGATACTTTCTTTTGATTTCTTGATATTTATTAAAATAATAAATAAATGCATCTTGAAATGCTTATTACAACTAAAAATAAATAAACATAAATAAATAATTAAATATGTGCTTCATTTACATATTTTTGGGCCGGTTAAACCAGTCGGGTGGCCGATCCGATCCAAATTAAAAAATCGGCGGTTAAACTGGTGAACTGTTGAACCGGCCAGGGTTGAAAAGAACTGACAAATTGTATATATATTTTTGTTTTAATTGAATTTTAAATAATATATTTTAGTTTATTAAATTCTTTTAACTTTTATAAATATTTCTATTAAATATGATGATTAATTACACCATAATATATGCATGTTATCTCTAATATCTCACATAATATGTTTAGTAAAAAATGTTTATTTAACAATATATGAAGGGTTAAAGAAGCCTATCTCAAATTCTTCCTATAATGTGAGATTAAAAAAGTTGCATGAATAATTTAGAATGTGAATTTGAGCTTAATTGGATTGCAAATTTGGGCTTAATTGAGCTGCAATTTGACAATGCTATATTATAAATATTTATAATGTTTATTATAAGAATTAATATTATAAATTTATATATTTATATTAAATATTATTCTTATAGACATATAAATATATTATTTTAAAATGAATAATTTATAATTTGTTTGCGGATTAGAATATATGCGAACAGCCGATTAAAGTTAGAAACTACGTTCAATTTGTTAGCAGTTACTAACGAATATCGAGCCACACATAGAGACACAGAATTTTTTGACGTGGATAAACCCTTGAAAAGAGGAAAAAACACGGTGGCCTAAACTCAGTTGAGAAGAAGCATTTGTATTTCTAGAACTTGGAGTGAGTTACAATGGGTTAACTCGCCTCTAAGGGTGATCAACATTACAGAGTAGACAATTGTTACTAAAGAAGAGTGCACGGATGCGGTGGTTCGGGCTAATGGATTCTGCATGCTGACTTCGGGCTTGTAGTATTGAAGATTCTGCAGCATGAACTCCGGACTCTAGATGTATGATGCAGTAGAACTCCGGCGCCTTAGATGATGGTCTAGCAGAACTCAGTGTCCTTAGATGAATGTTTCTGGCAAGAACTCCATGCCTTATGTGAAGGTTTGGTAAAGGTTGAGAGTCTTCAAGAGTGCGCCTGGCAAAAGATGTAAGCTTTAGTGAAGGTCTGTGCAGAAGCGTAAGGTGGTCCTGGGAAAGCGAGAGCCTCAGGTGGTAGTGGCAAAGGCGAGGGCCTCCCAGGTGGTGGTTCGTCTAAGGCCAGGGCTCGGTGGTTGGTCAGGCATAAGGCGAGGGGCCAACTGTCGTCGTGTGGATCTGGCAGGTGGTCCGGCGATGACTTTGGCGTTGGAGAGACCGGTAGTGGGTCTGGCGAGACTTCACAGTGGTCTAGGAGGCAAGTGATCTTCCGATCCTCTCTTTTTTTCTTCAGGCTTAGGGTGCCTCTTTCAAGAGGACAAGGGGGGATCATATTTATCAGATTTTTGGAATGACATGGCTTGGTAAATAGATGGAGGATCAAGAGG